CTTAAGCTAGTTTATACCTCATAAATTGTCAATGAAATAGTGCTAACTCACTTAGATTTTTCATATCTTGATTTTACTGGCTAGCTAGCTACTGTATAAACACTTTTTGGTATTTACTAGTAAAACTTGAACCCCATAGATCAAATATATTTAGAATATCAAAACCTAGAAGTAGTCTTTGGGCTCAAATGCAGCAAGTGTGGCTTCAGAGAAAATGGAGGGGAATCCCTCTCTTAGGTGACTAGAGGGGATTGTGTGTGTGTGTGGGGGGGGGGGTCCTTGGTTTTAAAGTACTTGGTGTGTTTGTGTGGGGGGGGGGGGGGGGGTGGGGTCATTTTTAGACTTCTGTTTTATTATTATCTCACCTAAATGTTTGTTCCAGTCTATGGTTTGTTCAGTCAGTGTATTTGTTTTTACAATGGTATAGCCTAATTTAGTTGCCCAGTATATTACACACAGCACAAGGAAGTTTTAAACAATTTTTTTTAATATTCATGTAATTTACATCAATACTTACCAAGATGGACATTTTGGGTGTGCAGGATTTAACCCTCTACCGCTCGCATTATGATAGACCTATAGAAAAAAATATTTGAATCTTTTTCTTTTCTAAGAATGGCTTAACTTGAAGTGCTGTAAAAAAAAAAAATTAGAAAAAAATAATATTATTTTAAGGTACTTTATGATATGTTGCCATACGGCAACAGCATACAAGAGTGGATCTAACTTAGAATAAGTGTAAGCTTACTTATAATTAATATTTTTCCTCAGAAATGTTTTTTTTTTTTGCTGAATGATTTATAATCGTTTTAATTTCATAAAATTTTTCATGAATATTATTTAAACTGCAAATTTATACAGTTAAAACAAATATAATACTGTATATAATGTATCATAAAACACTGACATAAAACCAAAAACATTGCAGTTCATGAAAATTCAGCATTATGCAATCTCTTGAGAGGAGGACTATGAACAAGAGTTCCATGTGCAGGAAGAGCAAGTTCTGCCCTTTTCTTCTTTACCTTGCCATAGAATATGGCCGTGCTCACTGATGTAATGTTACCTGTATTCATATTTAATCAAAAGTAAAATTGCCATTTCAATTTGATTACATCCATAATACAAATGCCATTAACATACGACTAATCATCATTATTTCACTAGTATTAATGTTGTTATTGTTACAGCTTAACAAATTGCAGCTGACCTTGCTAGCTAACTAAACTATTGTAATAATGTCATTCCACTATTGCACGGTGTTGCCGCTTGGCAACACATACATTTGAATGATTTACCAAAAACTAATTTTATAAAAACTTTGAGAGGTGAATGTCATCATAGTGATGTTTTCGATTTTTTTTGTAGAAGTGACACGGACTGGTCCTTGTTTGTTACTGATGTTTTAGTTTGCTTTCAGCAACTACCAACAAGAGACAGTAGTCTCAGAAATCTCAAAAACTGCATGTCATGTGACCACATCATTGGCTAAACTAAGGTCTTCTCTTTCCAACAAAAAAAAACGAGAATGTTCTCTTAAAGAGACCGTGGCAAGGAAATGAACACAGAGTATGTTGCCATATGGCTACACCACGCGGTAGAGGGTTAAGAAATGATCTGTTCATGTTATGGAGGAAAGCACAGTGCATGTAGGGGGTGTGGCCTCAATAGCCCTGCAGTAAGCAGTGTGCTGTGTGCATGTGATTGAGCAGTGTGTAGGGTAGAAATTAAACTGACATTGCATTAAATCAGGTTGTTTTAACCAAGATTATGCTGCAAGATTTTCTCAACTACATTCAAGTCCCCAGTTCCTGCAATTTTGCAAATTTCCAGTTTATTCCCATTAATTCCCGTTAACGCCCATATATTCCGTTATTTCCCATGGAAAGTTTCCAGTCTTGAAAACTCCTGGAATTTTGCAACCCTACACCCACCTAAACAAACTTAAACTTAATTTACAAAGTCTATACAAAAGTTCTGTATTACTTCAGTATTAATCAATATTGTGCCTAACTGTGCAGACAGAAAGCACTACATGTTCAGAAGGTTGTGGGTTGGTTAATAACATGAAACCACGGCTCTGTGTAGTTAATGCTGCTCAATGTGAAAGCACGCAGGTGATGGAGATTTACCGCTGATTACAGAACAGGCTTTCTGACAAGATGCGCGTTAAATATCGCATGCGATTAATCGTGCAGCCCTAAACCTATCACAAGTCAACTTATGTTGTTTGCTAATTGCTGTGATCAACTAAACATTGTACACAACTTCCATCTACCTGACAGCCCAATGAACCCCAATTCAAACCAAATTCAACTGGATTACGTAAATGATATTGGTCACGTTGTTACAAAACGGTGTCAATATTGAGAATGAGTTGTACAATGTCGCCCCCTGTGGCGGTTTCGTCAGTCTCGGAAAGTAGGTCAGTTTTTAATAAAATTCCTGCTGCGATAAATTGGGTGAAAGGGCGTAAATGTAACTGTCTCTTACCTAGTTCAATTGCCCTGTTGAACTTCAGTATTGCGTTGGATACGTCCTGTTTTTTCCAAAGACCTTCCCCTTCCAACCAGTATCGTCTCACTTTGCTTTCCGAATTAAACCATTTTTCAATCAAGCCACTGAAAATAACATTTACTCTGAGTCCGTCCACAGTAAATTGTCTGGGTGATTTGTTGGGTTTTAAACGGCAGCTTCTGCACTCTTTTGTAAGGTCATCTTCCAGACAGCGCTTACAGAAAATGTGTCCACACACCAAGGACGTCGGTTCCGTCAATAAACACTTGCAAAGGCGGCATGAAAACAAGTCTAAATTCTGTTCATCGTCTAACTCGTCGCTCTCAAAACATCTGCTTTCTGAGGTAGAGCTCGCGCTTATTGTCTTACGGTCACTCTGCTCTTTAGTGCGGATCGTATGTGCTATAACTTCAACTAAAATCTGCAGTTCATCAGGTCTCAGTGCCTGGAGGTTTGCAGCGATGCAATACGAGTCCAGCGCATCGGCTATATGTCCCCCACGGGCTAGAGCGTCAGCTTTCCGCAGGCAGAGGCCACGATCGGTGTGCTCAAGCTCGGCGAGCTGAGAGGTATAGATCTCCGCAGCCAGATCGAAGTCTCCGGCCCGACAAGCCTCGTCCGCAACCCCGAGCATTTCCACATTGGAGGGGTCGTGCACATAATGTTCGGTGTGGTTTTGAATCCCAGCATCCATTGTCTGCTACACCGCATAAAATGCAAATGTCCGCTTTTAGGAAAGCGGACAAGTACAACGTATAGGGCTCGGGTTTAAAGCTTTGGTGGAATCCAGGCTACAAATAACCAAATATAGTCCTATTTTAGTTACTTCACAAAAACACCATCTTTAATGCAACATGATCGGAATACTGGTGAAAATCAATAACCATGAGACCAAAGGCTAAATGTTTATAAACACTATTAATTTCCCATTCACCATTGCTTGGCCCACCAAAACACCTAAAGTTGACTGGTTAATTTCCCGGTAAAGCAAAAAAAAAAAAAATACAAATAAATAAATAAATAAAATAAATGTCTCTGACAAAACAATACATAACACATCTAGCAATGTTTTCATGTAAGTTAAGGTTGTAATGTTATAAAAAATTAAAATAAATAAAAATAAAAGGGGGACAAACGTTTAAATGTCTTCAAACCAAACCAGAATGAGTTCGTTGGGGTTTGTTTTAAAATCACGAGTCTCCAAACAAGTGAGCAACCGACGAAAGAAAAAGTTGAAAGCTGATTTTCACACATCGACGTCAGTGCTGATGATGAGTTTCTTGATTTCTGCCGAATGAAGCATATTCATGACCAACGTTTAGATGACCCGTTAGTTTTATGTAAGACTCAATGCCTCCGGCAGCGGCAATTTGCGTAATCCTCCTGTACTCTTTGGCTTAGAATACCCTTTAAAACGGTCCTTCTACGAATCCCTTTTATTCTGATCATTCTACAGGATGTCCATGTCTTATACGAGCCAGCAGAAACGGTAAATATTAATCAGTTGTTTTAATCAAATGGAGACAGCTGCGACGTTACCATTCGGTCCTCACTGACACAGGAAAGTGTGATACCGTCTGCCTCGCTCTCGTTCACGTAAGAAGCACGTGACGTCAGGATTGAGGCCTCATTGGTGTGTTATATAGCTCACTTATATAATGATAAAACAGTTGTGTAACCCAAAAGGGGCATGCATAGAAAATAGGAGATCATTTCACATAAAAAAAGACATTTTTATATGATGGTTTTAATTCTATGGCACGTGAAAGATATTCAAAAACTGACAAGACATTCATAAATGCCACTTGCTACTTTGCTAGAACATGTCACCTAATGTCACTTTATGTAAGGTGCCATTTAATAGGCTGCATTTAGTGTGTAACAATAAGGACTAAACCTTCTGTAAAAAGTTTAGATATTTATGCAACATGCAGTATTTTATATTCATTTTATTTATCACATTATGTACTAAAATTAACATCAGTTTTAGTGTACATGTTAACTTACACAATAAAATACTTTAACCACTTATTCTCTGGGGCGTTTTTGGTATTTTCGCCTACATTTTTCATACTCAAATTCAAATGTTTACCCTACACACATACAATGGAGGAAATGGAAAAAAAAAATGGTTTCATTGTAAAGAAAACCCTTTGAACTACAAAATATGAGTGTAATTCTTTTATAAATAACATTATATATATTTTTCAAATATTACAATAAACACAAAAAAAACATAGGCGCTTTTGGAGTTTTAAAACAAATTGTTTTTTTGAAATTCTGTAATTCAGGTTCTATTAGGCCCAACTTTCTGCAATTTACTTTGTTTGATGCCACTAGATGCCAAAAAGTACCAGAAAAAAGAATCTTTCAAATAACAGCTTCTAAACAGGAGTTACTACATTATATCTGAAGTGATTCGAATTGTCTATTTTTGCATCTAAATGTGTCATTGTGAGTTTCCTTTGTAAAAACAGGCTTTATAAAACACATTAGCCCCACAATCCTTTACTTTGTGCCATAAGCACTTTAATTGATTATTAATTGAATTATGTTTCATTTTTATGTTTTTCTAAGTAGTAATATACAAAATGGCACAAGCGAATTGGACCAAATTTCACATATTGTGTTATTCTACAATCAGTTGAATTATTTCAGGATGCACAAGACTGTCTACATTATAAAATATATCTGGTCTATCACAATCTAAAATAGAATCCATATCCTCCAGCTTTATATCATTCCATTTATGTGCATTCTGTATTGGGATACTGATTCACAGCATCCTCTCACCTCATCAGTTGACTCACTCCTGTATCCAGCATCTCTCCATGACAACACTGCATCTCCGTGGTCCAGAGCGGAGCTAATTTGCTATCCAGCAGCTAGCTGTAACATTCAGAGTGTCAAACAAACACACATCAATTCATCCACACACCACTGTAACAATCCATGTATATTTACTGTATATTCACTGTATATTCACTGAAATGCATAATGTACTGTACTTTTCGGTCAATAAACAGTGTATCATAATGCTAGCTGTGCTATCAAGTTTCCAAACAATTTACCTTTATTCCACACCGCTCTGTCCCTTCTCCTCTGAACGCGCTGATCATTTCCTGCTTTTATGAAGCCCTTCTCTCAGAAATACACGATGGCCTCTGATTGATTAGCTGGCCCAGTGCGTTGTGATTGGCTAAACCGCCTCTAGCGTGCGTTTAAACGTCCCGCCCCTCAACATAGCGGCATGTGCTCCGGTTGTATTGTAAACAATGACGTTGTCTATATTGCTTATCAGTTTGAGCCCGATTGAGGATATTAGTGAAGAGGATCGCGCAGAACCTGTGCAAGCACGGCTTTTAATGGTAGGCCTAAGATTTTTGTTTGTTGTTGTCTCATACTTTTAGATACGCTGTTATTTGTAAATGCTACTGCATCTGTTAGCTTTTAATATACGCTTTTATTCTGATTAAAGCTTTAATACAGTTCGGCAACCGCACGCGCGTCCATGTATAACGCTTCTCCTAGCTATAGTATGTGAAAATAAGTGTATTCACTGAGCTGATGATATGAATGAGAGAGAGAGAGAGAGAGAGAGAGAGAGATGCAGAGCATGTGCAGAGCAGGGCGAGGCCAGGAACAGGATGAGAACGCTGCTTTAGAACATTTTGAAACTTGTGAATCCATTAGAATGGTTAGAAGACAGAACCGCAATTCATATATGAATAGATTTTTATGTGCACCCCTAGTTTTCTCTTCCTCTTCTCTAAAGCAGCGCAGCATGGCCTCGCCCCCTTTGCTGCGTGTTTCTGGAGGCAGGGTTTATGTAAAATTCTGGGTTCTTGTAACGGACCTGGGAAGTAACTCGTTGTAGTCCCTTACCAGCTGTTTTTGTAGGCATTAAACTGCCAGAATTTTAAAAGACGATATCTCCGTTTGCATTGAACTTTCAGCTTCGTAACTTTGCAGATATTGTTTATGATCAAACAGCAACATTACACACTAACTAACATTAAAAAAGTGAAATCGCAATCAACCACCCCTTTAAAGATAACGACTTTGTGGTGGTGTTCATGTGTGTTCAACTCATAAATACGATCTATCTGACATGACCATAACGCACGGCGGTATAGTTAGTTTGACGTTTGACATTCATTAGACATTCGGGTTTTTTGCCAATTAAACTCTTTGCAGCTTTTATGTTTTGAGCCCAGACTAACTCAGATAGACATAAATATATGCCCTTTATGTTGCACAAGGCTTAATTTCTAGGAATTATTATTTTTTTTAACCATTTAAATTAATTAAACAATTGAACTACGTGACATTATAATATAAAACCAATACTAAAATGTTCGGGAAAACATACCTGTTATCGAACAAAGCTCCGTTTTTGGAATTACAATTTTATGTTTTTTATAATAATTTTACAACTTTTAATGTATGCAATAATATAAATCCATTAAACGACAACACCATTTGATCTAAAGGTATCAAACCAACTGTAAAATATTCAGAATATTATTCCCTATAATGCACAAGGCTTGGTTTTCCAGATTATGCCTTTACTGTTTTTATATACAGTACTGAATCCATATTTGCAATGTTTATTATACTGTACCCACTTGAATTAATTAAACTCTGACACAATTTGAGATAAATGTATCAAACCAACTGTAACATATTCAAAATATTATTCCCTATAATGCACAAGTCTTGGTTTTCCAGATTATGCCTTTACTGTTTTTATATACAGTACTGAATCCATATTTGTCATGTTTTATATACTGTACCCACTTAAATTAATTCAACTCTGACACAGTTTGAGATAAATGTATCAAACCAACTGTAGAAATCTCAAAATATTATTCCCTTTACTGTATTTTGCTATGAATTGCGGGAACATGCTAAATAATTGCTGTAAATTTTACAGTAGTATCTAAGAATGTTTTTGCATTTTCCTATATATTCTAGGAACATGATTATGCAGTAAATGCTACAAGGAGATCATGTATACATATATTCTTTTTTTATATATATAGAAGAAAACTGTTGCACAAGTTTTGAAATCCAGTTTTGGTACTCAAGTCAACTGTAATAAATACAGCCTTTTTAACTAATTATTTACACCATGTTGACTCTGACATATGATTATATAATGTACGCATCTATTAGTTTAAAACTGTTTGCTTTAAAAACACACATGATTAGGCGACTACATCGGCGTAGCGCGTGCGTGTGATGTAATTTCGTCATCAGCAGCGGACATCTTGGGACTTGTCGCGACATTTAGCAGTCTTCAATTTTCGCGCTCAACTCCTGCACGCTACGATATAGAAGTTGGCAACACTGCGGTTACTAGAGAAGAGGACATCAAAAGGGTGAGAGTATTTACTAATTCATGCCTCAGTTAAAACGTGAAATCCTGGTGCTTCCAGTAATTATTTTACCAGTCATTAAGATATTTAATTGTGTAACTGTTATTTTTATTTTGTGACGTTTCAAAAGGGATACATTTCTGTTCAATTCTATGCTACGGAATTTGCGTTTTGAGTCCAAAGTTACGATGAACTTTAACGTTAGCTGGGTAACTAACTTTTTTTTTTTTTTTTTTTTAAAGTGGGACCTGTCAGCCATATTACGTTACTATTACATTTTCGATAGCTGTTCAGTATAAAATAAGTTTGGATTGTTGGTAGTAGTCACGTAAACTTTAAAACATTGCAATTACATTAATAAAATTTCAATTGTGTAGGTTTTATGTAACTCAGTAACGTTAGTGGTTCACTCCACTGCCAAGCCATTAACTAATTAGCACGTGTTTGTTCCATGGTGTTGCTGTAAGGATTTGTTTTTTAAGTTTTAGCTTTATGTTAATATCACTTATAAGGGTGCATGTAGTCATATTAGTACTTTAGTTGTTCATTAGAAAGTACATTGGAAATTGCTGTGCACATGCTTTACTGCTACTTTGTTACTGAGCATGTGGCTTGTCTGTGATTGTGTTACACAACTGTTTTCCATCTTTTTAAGGTATATCCAAACAGTGAGGTGCATGCTGTTCTGTCAAAGTATCAAGAGGGAAAGTCTCTGGTCCTGTGCATCCTGCAACTCTTAATGGCCCATTTTAAAGAGAGAACAGAATCCCTTCTATTTGAAGCTGATTTAAGTAATATAATTTAGATTTTAGAGTTTAACTGGTAATGCAAAATATTTTTATTTATTTTTTAGGTAGCAGCAACTGCAACCGACATGGAAAAAAATGGATTACCGGATTCACCCGCACTGATCTTTCAAGGTAGTGTGTCTTACTTTCTGTCTCTATAAACCACACTGTTCTTTGCCTATTTCTATTATATTTATATTTTTGCCACCTCTGTTGTTGTATTCTTCTTCACAGTTCTATTCTCACTCCTATATTCCTTCCATTTGTTATTGTCTCTCAACCACTCTCTCTCATTAGTAACCATGGTCTTCATTATCTTTTAGTTTATAGTATCATAGTATCAGTGTCTTTATTAGTTAACATGAACTACCCATAAACCATGC